GAGAATCCAAAAAAAAAGGTTATTTTTCAATATCTTTTATACATCATTGTATTTTCAGCTCAGACAATTTAAAGTACCACACCGGCAAACCAAAACATAATAAACAATAATATCAATAGCGACTGTTATAAGACTAACTTCCAACAACAGCCAATATAACAATATTAAGTAACGGTATTGAATGGAGAGAAATAAATCTGAATTGAATGTTGTTCTTCTTATTTTTCATCAGGTTGGGCTCAATGTAAATTTAATTCACTTTTATCCACGGCTGCCGTTGATTCTTTCCTTCTCTTTTATTTCAATCAATTTCTTAATCTCTTATTTCAGCTTCTACCCATGAACAATTTCATTTTTTTTTTTTTTTTTTTGGTGAAATTCAACACATTTCTCCTCTGTCTGATTATCTTCATTACTTTTATATATATTCAACTTTTTTTTTTGATTGAGTTCAGGATGTGGAATGCATTCATATGGCTTCGGTTCAATCAGTTTTGGAATCATTTTTCACACACAATTGTCATCGTCATTCACAACAATTTGTAATCTTCATCCAAAAATCACAAACAGAACGACTGACTAAATTTCTTCTTACTTTTTTTTATTTATCATTGTTATGGCTGTTGTAATTATTTCGTCATGTAATAGTTTCTTTTTTATTTGTCGTCATGTATTTACTGAAGGTTGACATTGTTCCTCTCTGATGTTCATATGCTGCAGTATTGTCATGTTTGATGTAGTCTTTTTTATGAGGAACTTGGTAGAATTCTTTTGATTGAAGTGATTTCAGTTATGTTGAAATTAAAATTTTTGTGCATTGTAGTCTTTTCAGATGAAGTTCATTTCCTCATTTTGATGCAACTTATTTGTCATTGTGGAAAATTAATCACTGTACTGACAGAGTTGTGATCTTCTTTTAAAGATTTTCCTTGAGTTATGATCTTCATGATGAACTTACTATGTTTGTCTTACAGATTAATTGTGGTCCATACCCGAAAAGCATAAGCCGGTTAATCGAATAGAAATCCGGCTTTACCATGACTCTAGCACCATGCCAGAAACACCGGCATCGTGCAAAATTTCTAATCGATTAACCGACTTGTGCTATTTGGGATAGCTTCCTTTGACTCTATAATCGGATACTATTTGCCAATTATACTTAAAGGGAGTGCAAGGCTGTCTTTATCAACAATTTAAGAGTTTGAGAGCTTTACTTTAAAGATCTTTGTTCAGCTTCCTCTCAATCTGACCAACCTAATGGTGCTTGCCAGCTCTGTTGATGCTAGTTTAATATCCTAATGTACAAAAAGATTTTACCAGCATTTAAAAAATCACCAAAAAGTGACAGCTCCTAAATTACAAACTGACATCAGATCAAAATAATAATTTGACTTAATTTAATGCTCTTAAAATTACCCTTCATTCACTGCCATGGGCTTCAGACTCAAATTGACTTAAAATTAAAATAATTTTAAAACAAAAAATCATTAAGTTTATTATTAATATCCATCATAAAATGCTCAAGTTCATCATCATCACCTTTAAGTCTTTCGTAAAAGTCATAAAGTCGCTCATTTGCATGCAAATTTTTACAACTTTAATAATTGAGTCCAATTTAATAAGAATTGAAAAGTTTCAATGCGCTATTAAAATGAAGGAAATTCATATCTTTCAATGACATCTGATAGTTACTGTCCATTCTTATAAGGGGTTAGTCATAATTGAGTTCCGTTAAAGAATTGGATCCTTTTGCTCAAAATATAGAAACAAAAGTTCAAAAGTAAGACATCATTTATGAACAACCCCTAAGTTCTGTTGATATTTTATGACTTGACAAACCTTAATGTCATTTAAAGGAGAATGACAACAACAGGAACTGTAACATGTGTTCTTTAATTTTCTCATTTACTCTCCTATTATTATTAGTATTCTTATGATGAGTCTTAAATGAAATTTGCCATGCTTAATTTATGTCTCACAATGCGCACTTATTTTTACATCATATTTTCTTAAGTTTAATTTATAAACTATTACATTTATGACTATGACGATAAAGCGGACTCATTACATCTCCATTCTGTAAATTGAACTTTATTCACTTTTTTAAATTGAGTGACGCTAATGTCATTTTAAAGTTTATAAACTTCACTTAAACTTTTTATTACAATTTAATTTCTGTAAATGGAAGAATGTATTTTTTTCTTCATTTTTTAAATCCGGAGAATCAGCAAGAGAGGAGAACATGCAGAGATTATAGGCAAAAAATAAGGTTTAAATAAATTGACTTATGATGAACGTGAATTGCCATTAAAATGATTTTTTTTTGTGGTGAAAAAAGAGAAATTTTTTTGGGGGTCATTCACTAGTGATGGTTATCATGGTAGCTTTGATGTTACATCAGGTTAGAGCTGCTTCTCAATGTGGCAAACAAAAGCATTCAAAGCATTTGGGATTCGATTCTCTTGGTTAAGCTCCTGGTCATGGTTTGAATCACTTTAGCTTTGTCTTTAAGGTTATACCTTTCAGCCTAAAATTCTCTTTAACAGACGCTTCTTCCTTCTATCCCCATTTGATAAATTGCAATTTTGTTGAGATCCAACAGTGAACTTTCAACTGTTATGCTGCTTCTTGAGAAGAAAAAAGAAACTTTCTTGTAGATAACAAAAAAAAGCCTTTTGTATTTAAATGAGCTTAAGTTGACGCCAGAATGAAAACCGCAAAATTATGGACTACGAGGAAATTTTTTAACTTTTTATTTTTGTGCCCTTCGAGTGGCTAATAAATTTTTTTATTGAAGAATAAAAAGTACAAAAAATTAATTTTTATGGTTTTTGGTCGTAAAAGATTGATAAATTTGAGTAATTAATTCTTAGCCTCAACAGATTTGCTTAACTGTACCTTTAAGTTTGTTTTTAAACAACCGCAACTTCCTTATTGCTTTAATAATTGTTTTTTTTTGCATTCAACTCGATTCTGAAAACTGCCGGATGCTACTGACTTTCAAATGTAAATAAACATTTTAAAAAACTTGATATCTTATTTCAATAAAACAATCAATTAACAAGTTTGTACATCAAATGCCAAAATATTGTGAATTTGAATGACATTTCCTAATTTTTGGCTTGAGCCTAATTTTGTCAATCTTCCAAAACAGGTGCAAATTTCGTTAAAATGCAAGAGCACCAAAAACAGATGGATTTTTGTTTGTAGAATATGTTTGGAATTTGGAACCACGATGACATTGTTATTTGATGTGTTTAATTACAAATAGTTGGTCATTGTGAGAATTTTGTCAGGTTTTGCGGACTTTACAGCTATAGTTAAACACTAATCTTATTCATAATCTTGCCCTAATCATACTCTAGATACCTTGATGTATCCAATTGAATCTTAAAATCTAAAAAATGCAAAACTTAAAAAAAAAACTCAAATTTTAATCTCAAAACATCCAACAAAATCTGTTGAAATCCACTCAAAACATTGCGCAATCGGATTAGTTCTAAATCTAAAATCTTTTAAGTGATCTTAAATTACACACTTTACAACACAAAATGATATTAAAACGAATTTAAATAGCACATTAATGATATCACTTTAGATAACAGGAAGCAATTAAGCTTCAGTCTAGAGCTTATGAGCCGGAACCAACATTGATTGATCTTTTAGAATGTTAATTTTCTTCTTCTTTTATTGTTGTTGATAATCTGGAATGTTTTTTTAATCTGGTCGAGGCATTATTGTTTTCTAAACATCAAAAATGTTGAATTTTAAAAAGTTTTTTGATTTTGTCGATTAACACAAAAGTAAGTGTTGCTAGCGAATATTTTTAAAATCTTTGATGTTCCAACAATCAATCGATCAAAATCAATTTTCAAGTCAAGAATGAAAAGAAATAAGATTTTGCAAGACCACCGAGTCTTGTTGTGATTGGTCAATTGAATGGAAATTAATGATGAATTATGAATGATCAAAATAAAGCTGAGGAATTTATTCACTTGAATTAATGAGACTGGGAGGAATTTGAGTATCGCTTGTAATTTAATATAAATTTGTGGAGTAAATGGATTAGAAATTGACAGTTTAGAGATTAAATTCGCACTATTTTTTGAGGTTAGGTGATTTTTTAAGGCTGTGATTAATTTGCAAATAATCGCTTGATTTCTTGGTTTTAAACAATTATAAACATCTTTAAACTAGCTGAGAAAAAATTGGTACCTTGGACTATTTTGCCTATAAATTGAATCTCCATAGATAGATTTAAAATTGATTTTACCAAACCTATGTCCAAAACTATATCAATTTTACATATCTCCTTCCCAAATCAGATCATTGATACCTTCTAAAATTCATCAACATAACCTTAAATTTTGACACCTATCGCCGACCTTTTATAAAAACTATTTTGAAATTTATCTCAATAAATTTAATATTCTAATAAATTTACAATTCGTTCATTCAAATTAACCTCATCCAAGTTTCCTCCGAATATGGAATATATTAGACTAAATAACCTATGAACATTGTAATACAAGCTATAGTCCATAAAATGTTTTGAATTTTTCTTAATATTTTTCAATAAACAAGCCGCAAACTTTTTATTGCCAATTTAAGGAACTCCATTGTTATTGTTTAGAGTAATTTGAATTGCTTACACAATTGTGAGATTTTGTATCTAGCTAGTTTGTAATTATAGAAGAAAATAAGCACACGACTTTAAATTGTGGCTGTCGTTTACCGCACGTGGATATTGATTTATTTATTTTAGCACTTTTTGAACGGAGTTGAGATCATTTTTAAGGTTCTGTTAAAAGATTGAGTAAATGAATATGCAAGACTCAATAAATCAAAATAGCCAAAAAAATAAAATCACATCAATTTTCAGCAAAATATAAGCACAGCAGTCAAAATTCAAAATTTTCTAATTTCCCTCTTCATTTTCAATTCTTACAGATCACCAATATCAGTCCCCATCTGGTCGACAATAATCAAAGCTTTCCAAAATGTCAGTCATTGCTGGTGATTTGGAAATTCGAAAATCTTCAGATTTGATTGAGACCAAAGTAAATAGTAACAACAGCAGCAGCAATAATTCAGCACCACTTGCGAAGCGAGAAGAAGAGGATGATGATGAAGATGAAGATGTTTTTAATAATGATTCAACAACAGAAGTCACACAGACAACAGAAACAGTAAAAGTCAACAACAATAGTGAACACAATAAAGGCATAAATGATAATAATAAAATTATAAATGATAGTAACAACAATAATAATAATAATAACAATAAGATTGACTCCACAAGTGATCAACCACAAATCATTCAAACAGATGAACTTATAACTGTTGTGGTAAATGAAAATTGCAATGGTAAATTGTATCGTGAGAATCTAAATGATAATTATAGTAACGATAAGAAATTTATAGATATTAGTGAAAGTATAAAGAAATTATCATCAAATGAGAACTTTCCAAAGTCAATCTTATGTGCAAATAGTGATAATAGTGAACGTAAAAGTCTCTTACGAAAAAAGTCTGTGAGTTTTGAGAAGAATGAGGAAATAAAAAAGTTTATAGTCGGTGAAGAGATAATTGATAAACAAAACCCTTTTCGGAGTGCTTTAGATGAGAGTGAAAAGTTTCGGATTATAAAGAATTCTAAAAAGTCATCAATTCCAACGAAATCACAAAATGGTAGTGCTTTTGCGCCTTTAGCTAGTGAAGAGAATGACTTTATAACGAAAGAAGAGATTCTAAAACAGTCTAAATATGTTCAAGTGTATGTAAAGAATCCAGATAAAGTTTTAACATATGATAGGACAGTTTTAGACAAACTCAATACCAACGGTAGTGTTGACACTGATACTAAACAACAACAACAGCAGCAGCAGCAACAACGAATTCCAGTCCCATTACCCCGTAAATCTACAAACCTTAATAATAGTAATAAAATACCAATAGTGAATAAGAAAATCGATAAGAAGGAGAAGAAGAAAAACCACAAAGTACGAAATCCAAAATATCCTGATTTATCAGACATAAAAGTAAAGATTGGAACAGATATCGATGAGAGTCTTTATGATCCGAATGAAGTTGTCTTGAATGCCAAAAAATTCGATAGTCGATTTAAGAAAATTAAATTTGGTTCGACAGACGATCTTGAAGAGATTGTAGATAGGGAGGATACGACTGAGTTAAACGGAGGGGAGAAAGAGACGAAAGTTGAGGAAGGTGAAGAGGGAAATGAAAAAAAGTCATACACAAACACTGTAAATAGTGAAGAATTTCGGCAATATTTAAAGAAAAAAGGTCTCGTTCTATTTCCAATCAAAACATCATCAAATGGTATCGAGACAACAGCCTCAAATAAGAAGCAGTTAAACGGAAGTGCTGTGCTAAGAAAACAACAAAAAGCGCCTGATACCCTCAAGGAAATTGACGAGATTGATTTCGCAGACATGGATGGTGAAAGGTGCAATGGAAAGAAGAAGTCTGTCTTTCATCGGCTGTCGAGCATCTTCTCAACATCGAAGGGCAAAACAACACCAAAGACAAATGAGCCATTATCACGGATATCATATTCATCATCAACTAATAATAAAAATCACTATAATCAGCAACATGATAACAACGGTGGCAATTTAGGATCGAACATTAAACGAGTAATTCTTGAACGATCTAATTTTAATAATGGTGATAATCGATCGGTATCAGCTAATAGCGAATTTATGCAACACTTTAGTTCACCGTCGTCAGATATGCAAATTAAACAGCAGCCACAGCCTCAACAAAATAATCATCATAATCATCACAGTCGATATAATGAGAGTGATGATACGAAAAGTTCTATATCAAGTGTCTTAACGGCAGCCGCTGATGATGATCCACTAGACACGCCTATAAATGTCAGGAAGACAAATAATACTAATCAAATAGCTAATGGACGTCCAGTTTCGGCAAATGCAACAGCTGCCATGCTTTACAGAAACATAGATTTAACTAGAAGTAAACTTTATCAGTCAAAAGTGAAACAAAACAATAGTGGCAATAAAAATGAAATGAATGGAAGTGAAATCCAGCAGGCACAACCTCAACATTATTCATCGACAACAATGAACAATGGTACAAGAGAGAATGATGATATAATTAAGCCGAGAGTTCAACGACCATCAAATCTTTCACGCACTCAGCCTGTCAATAAGTCATTAATCAAACCACCAGTTCCTCTAAGACGCACCATTGAGAGACAATCGATGCCAATTATGAGGAGTGGTGAGCGCTATAAACAAAATTCTATGGAACAAAATAGAACCGTTACATCATTTTGTGATAATGAGCGAACTCCAAATAATTCATACATTAATGGAACAATTGATAAGGTGACCTCGACCCCGACAAACGATGAGAATATGAAAGCGACATTGAAATCACCAAAAATGTCACCGATTGTCAATCAACAAGCTCAGACACCACAGCAACAGCATAAACCTAGCGAAATTGATCCAATTACATTCGCCAAGATTCATGAAATTAAGAAGAAGACAGATGAGGTTTTACTCAATAAAACAAATCAGCTCTATTCGCGTCCTGCTGATATGAAAATACTTCAGAATAATTTGAGACAACAGCCACAACAACAACAACAAAATTTTGTGAGAAATTCACCACAACGTGCAACAATTACAGATGTCTATCAAAATAAAAATTCTAAACGAGATGATTGCGGTAATGAATTCATGGCTTTGCGTCAATCAACGATGAATTCACAGCATCTAAATTCTCAACCGCAGAGGTCACAGAGCGTACTGGATAATATGACAATGAATAAAAATTCCCTGTACGGAGAAGTCACTTATCGTCGTCCTGATGGATCAAATGTCAATGTATTAATGCGGCGACCAGAATCCTCAACAATGGATCGTAATCAAATAATGCAAAAAATTTATGAATACTATAGGAAGAGTGTCAATAACACTCCAGTCTCATTCACTGAAAATAGCCAGAAGAATTTACAATATAAAACACAATCGACTGATACATCACCAGTATCATATGCCTCAGTCAATACAATGCGATCGACATTACCGAAAATCCCACAAAATCAAATTTTACAATTAGCACAGACATCGACACCACGTTCAAGTTCATACTATTCTGACTATTCGATAGATAGAAAAGGATACTTTTACACACGACCCTCGAGCGTTAGTACAACAAATTCAATGAAATCCGCACGCAATCAAACAATCAGTGAATCTGATTCCGTTTTCTTACCACCAACATCATCATCAAGTAATTGCGAGAATGAAGGCGTTCAACAGCAACCGACTCATTATGTTGTCGTAAATAGTGAGAAATTAAGGCCATTTGATGTACTCAAAATGCAACAATATAATAATAATAATAATAATATTTCTGCGAAAGATCATCGACGGGCTCTGTATGTAGAGCCTGAGACAATATACGACGTCGTTTATGGCGCACCATCAGCAACTTCCACTCTATCGTCTCGCAAAGAGAATGCGAGCGAGAATGTTAGTGGAACCTATGGCAATATTACTAACAATAAAACTATCGATAGATCTCAAAAGATTATACAAAGACCGGCATCCGCATTGGGAGCCTCAACAGCATCATATCAGCAACAGAATCGACATATGGCGAATGGTCGAATGACACCGTTAATCCTGCAAACGGCACAAGGCGATTTAATCTACAACAATCAAATTTATCGACCGATATCAACAATTCCCAGTCAACAGCAACCACAGCTACAGCAGCAACCGAAACAGCCAATTTATACATCACCAATGCGACGGAGACAAAACTCTAATAATAATTATGAGAGTGACTCTGAGGCCGGAGAGATTCAGAGCATAATGCAAAGAAAATATGGTGAGTAAAATTAATTTTGTGGTGAAAACCTTTTAAATGTTTTCATACAAAACATTTGAGGGGTTCTCGAATTCTACTGCATGGAGAGAGAAAGATTGGCAAATGAATAAGTTGGATAGGATGCAATAATGCACATTTTCATACAGCTTTGGCGCATCACAGCCAAGAAAAGTTCATTAACCTTTGTTCACGATTTGCATCCTTGTCGTCGTCGTTGTCGTGCCTTCATAGCTGACTCTGCAATTCTTTATGGGCTTTTTTTTATTATTATTAATCATGTAATCTATAATGAAAGTTAATTAGTCTATTGACTAGACGGAATGTTATACTGAGAAAGAATTTGACATCCGTATGATGATAATCTTTTTGATGATGGAATTCATCACTTCCTCCTTTGATCTCATTTTTCAAAGGATTTTTTCTTTTTTTTTGGGTACGAAATTTTTTTGGCATTTTGATTTAAAGGATGTGAAGTGGAATTCTAACACATTTATTACATATCCACATGCATATGACATTGTTGTATAGTTCAGATTTCACAATTGTCATCGTCACAAGGAAATTGAAAACTCACGACTATGATAGAAAAAAAAAAATAATAAGTCCTGAATTTATGTGAATTGAGAAGAACTGAGAAGCAAAGAGAAATTGAGAATATGAAAATTTCACCCTCTTTTTATGTCCATGCGCGCGCACTAATGTTCCATACATTTTCATGGGGCGGAAACATTGTCCATATATCCCTCAACATCCAAATCCCACTTTTTCACATAAGAATTCAGTTTAGTGTTGAAATTTTCGTGAAAAATTGCAGATTTGTCTCGAGTTGTGTCTTATAAAAAATTATTTTATTATTTTTTATTTCTGTGAAAATAAGGAATAAAGTGAAATGGATATTAATATAATAGAACTTTATAGAATAGAATGTCCAACGCCCTTAAAGTGAAAAAAGGAAATTTTCTACATTTTTTGTCGTGACACTTTTAAAGGTTCTTGAATTATTAATGTGAAAAAAAAAGGAAAATTCATTTTGATACAGAAAAAGATCAAAGATTGTTAATTAACTCATCTCGTCTAATAAGTGTAAATATATCGTCATTAAAAATTTTGTGAATCAAGTGCCATAAACACTCCTTTTTTCCACATCAACTCCATGCGAACATTTTTTTTTATTTTCAATTTTTTTTAAAGAAAATTTTCAAAATTGAAGGAATTTCCTCATCATGTACAATAGGAAGTAATTTGATGAAGTCTTAGTTGTTCAGATAGCCATTTGTCTAGGACGATGATGAAAAGGGAAAGAAAAGAAAAATGGCAATTAGATGATACGGTTATGGTGAGGAACGACGTAAATTGGGAAAAGAAAAAAAAGAAAAACGACGGAAAGAAAAAAAGAAGAAAAAAGTTTTTCATGAGAAAATAAAAAAATTTTGCAATCGAGAGATTTTTTTTCGTGAGAGGCGAGAAATTCTCTCAATTTTAAAATTCTCTCATTTTTCAATCTCCTCTCTCAGTGTCTCTCTCTCTCTCTCTGACACACAAGATGTGAAATATATAAACAAATAAATTGCCGGTAGAAAATACAAAAGAATTTGTTGAGGGGGCTCATAGAAACAGAAAAGTTATTTTTGTATGGATGTGTGGGAATAGGAAGACGAATTATGATATCAATTCCCATTCGGAGCATGAATAAAATGTCATCTATAAATTCTTTTTACGTGTGGTCGGTGAAATTGTGACATTCAGTGTTGTTATCTATGATATTGTGCTTTTAACAGGGAAAAGGCAATGACTTGTCCTAGTTGACTCAGACAAATTGTTTTAAGTAGGTCAAGTCTTAAGTTTTGAATATCTCAAATTTCAAATCCCTTCACAATGATTCCTTACCTTTAAAATATTAAGAATTCAGCATCGAGATCCAAACGAGTTCATCACAATCTAAAACGACGTAGATCCGATTCCTTACCTGTCATGTTCAGAAACTTTAGTCAAGATACTTCATTAAGAATTTGTCAACGGTCATTTTAATTTCAAATTCATTATGCAACAACAATTAATTGATTTTCCCCTAAACTGGTTGTTAATCCCCTTCATAGAAATATTATAGTCTGTTTCTGAACTTTTAATAACAAACATCGTTCTTGTTCATTAAAAACGTAAAAAATCTTACGTCTCTTAATCTAGGGGCCGTTCACATATGACGTCCAGAGGGGGGGGGGGGGGGTGGGGGGACTGCGAGAAAAGAACAATAGAAGTTCCTAGAAATCCATTGTTCTTTTTTGAAAAATGACCGTTAATTTCGGACGTTATAAGTTAACGACCCCTTAGTTAAACTTAATAATAAATAAGCATTGTCATCAATCTTAGAAGCTTTAACACTCATTAATAGAATATGATAACAACCCTGACAACAAGATGTGTTGATAGATTCAAAGACTATTTTAATAGTTAATGAATCCCAAATTTAGCAGCTTTCTGTACTGCAATACAGTTTCCTCCAACTCAATTCTAATGGTTTTGCATGTTTGCCTCAAGAAAAACTTTTTCTCTTTTTGGTATTCTTGTTAAATATGCAAAAGCTTTGTGGAAGCGAAAGAAGACTCAACAAACAAGAGAAAAGAGGAAAAAAAAATTTCTTTGAAGGGAAAAGCTCAAAACGAGATAAATAAGATCCTTCCTTCAACAAACTTTTCCCTTCCTTTTACATATCGTTTATTTGAATCTCAAATGATTTTTATTGCATCATCTTTATGCTTACATACAGCTACAGATGGTGAAAAATTCAATTCTTTAAGTGAGCATTTATCGATCATTTTGGTTTAGTTTTCCTGTGTCCATTAAACATTTATAGACTTGCTAGGCATTCATGCAAAATTAACTAAGAAGAAAAACTTTATTTCTTGTGCCTCAAAAAAAGGAAGCCTGAATTGTTTTTGGAAAGTTTTCAAGAATTTTTATTTTGTAGTGCATTGTTGTGCATTTCATATGTGGTCGTTGAATAGCTTTGGGATTTTGGATATAAATTTGAAGTAGATATGAAGCTACAACTAAATAGTTCATAGCTTATGGCAGTTTAGGATGAGTTTGGAAAAGGATTTAATATTTAGAATTTATGATGCAATCTGTATCTTGGGCTAATAATGTTTAAAAAGTTCTGAATAGGAAAATGTCTTAAATGCGGACGTGAAAATGTAGAGCATCTATAGAAGTTGGAATTGTATCTTAAATTTTGACATTTTGAGATTTATTTGGACTTTTTGGTAAAGAATTTTAAATTTTGTAATGAATTATGCAGTTTGCAGACTACGAAACTGAAGATTGATAGTCATTTGCTCTAAATATATGGCAGCAGTGTGCTTAGGTCAACTTGGATCTACACTTAGCTGTGCTAAGACATGTTTTGTGATTAATAATAGTTGCAATTCAGATCAGGTGCAATCATTGTATTCAAACTTAGTTTAAACAGTTTGAGATAGAAGCTTCAAGGTTTAGAAATCTTCGGTAATCTTACAAATCCCCACAGCATTGAAAATCTTTAGTTTCTGGTCTCAAAAATTGCAGATCATCAAGATAAAACTTCAAAATCTTAGTTTAAACTTAATAACTTATATAAATCATTTAAGCAATCAAAACAACCTTCCAACATTAAACTACAAAACTTAAAAAGTCTTAAGAATTTCTCAAAAATTATCACTTTCCATGCTGGCATACAACTTTTCCCACAGACTGTCTTTGAAACTAAAAATGAGCTGCTCTAATTAGACATTACCAAAAATAAATGCCTTGGATTAACGTTGTGTATCCTTTAACAAGTTTAACAACATAATGGGATAATTTGAGATTTTATTCTTTCAGCCTTTCGGGTAGTCTTTCTTTTTGGTCGTTCGTAAATGACGTCAATTGAAATTTTGAATATTTTTCCTTGCTTCCAAACCCCAAATTTTTGTTTTAAATAATATCTTTTTAAGGGAAGTGACATAAATTTACAGTCTTAGTTGAACATCATTTACGAACGACCCCCCAAACTTACAAAGAATAATAATTTCTCTTTTTATTCAAACTTTAAATGAAAAATTTCCTTCCTTGTTCTGTGTAATTAAATGCGTCCCACATTCAAGAATTTTTAAGAACAATTCTTATTTTTTATGCTTGGCCATTTATTATGATTCCATGTGTGGATTATGTTGGAAGCTACGGCATTGCTGTGGATTAAAATAAAGTTTTCTAAAAAAATATATATTTATAATAAAATATTTTTCGCTGCTGTGGTTTTAAGCATTCAAATTGCGAGAAAAAAAAAATATAGCTGAAATCCGGTTTTTCCCAATTGAATTTGCATCTCATGATTTATTGATTGCAGCATATGGGTGGCTCTTTTTTCGATGCGAGTGGGTTTTAGGCTTTGAAAAATTTATTTTTGGAGGTTTAATAATTTTTTTGTGAAATTGAATGGATTTTAGTCTAATGTGCTTAATTTTTGGAAAGGAGGTACTGAAATTGGGGCTTATCCATCGACGAGATACATTCTACCATAATGAGTCATCAGAAGCAGTGTAGTTTTAATTCTTTTAATCTCCTCAACACCTTCTTAAAGCCTTCTCAACCTATCGACAGCATGCATCGACTAAACTTCATTTTCCATTCATAAAGTGATTAAAGTTGATAAATTTGCTAGCAAATAAATTTCAATTAACCAAACTCAGTCATTCACAGTGAGTCGAGTGAAGCTCATTTTCATCTCGTACATTGCAATCGATAAATCAAGCTGTACTCGTACGACAAATTTACGATCAAGGAAAAAAAATATATTTTTTCCGTCATCTTTGATGCTTATGCAGCAGTGTACATTGTGAAACCTGCATGACTACATAGTTATTACCTCAATTTGATATTGATGACAAACAGCGGGTTTTGATAAATTTTTTTGACGAGAAATGAGCACAATTTTCACACCCATTTTAATCCACGGTGAATTTTTTTAAACATAGATTGGAGGAATG